TGCATCTGTATATTGCAGGTTGTTGAAAAGCCATCCTGCAATCCTTATACCATATTATTCTTCATATAAGCCAGCTTCTCTGATGATTTGCTCAGCATACAGATTGACTAGGTGTGGTCAGAGAATACAGCCCTGACTCAAATCATACTTGATTTTGTTCTATGCAGTGTCCCTTTGTTCATTCAAAACCAGTGCCTCTTGATCCATGTACAAGTTTACAATGAAGTAGTCTGGAATTCCCTTTCTCCTCAAGGCAATCCATAGTTTGTTATGATCCACAAAAATTGAATTCATTTGCATAATCTATCAAACACCAGTAAACATCTTTCTGTTATTCTCTGCTTTCAGCCAAGATTTATCTAACATCAACAGAATATTCATTGTTCTACATCCTCTTTTGAATCTGGCCTGAGCCTCTGGCAGCAACCTGTGAATGTACTGCTGGAACCATTGTTGAATCGACTGCTGTAAATAAACAAACAAATAAATATTTACCATGAAAATGATTTTAATTGAATGTGATATTAATGTTCTGTAATTTGAACATTCTGTTTGGTCACCTTTCTTTGGGATAGATACGAATAAGGCTCCTTTCTAGTCAGTTCAGTAAGCAGGTGTCTTCAAATTTCTGGTGTAGACAAGGAAGTGCATCCAGTGCTTCATCAGCTGCTGAAACACTTCAGTTGGTATTCCATCAAGTCCTGGACCCTTGTTTTTGGATGCTGCCTTCAGTGCAGCTTGAACTTTTTTTCTTTTTGAATCAATGCCATCGGTTCTTCCTCAAATTCTACCTTTTGAAATGGTTAAATGCCAAATAGTTCTGGGGAGTGTGGCTGCATGCTTTCCATGATTCTACTTGGAGAAGGCAGTTCCTCCTCAGTCATATTTTGAGTGCCTTCTGACAGGAGGGGCTAATCTTCTGGCACTATCTCTGACAATGTTCTGCTACCCATGAGGTTTTCTGTAACCACGAATGTTTCCAGGCGATCCTTAGGGGTTTCAGCGAATACGTCCTCAAAAGTGGATAGCCTATTCCTTCCTTATAGTCTGTTTAAGCTGGAAGTTCTCTTGAAACCTGTTCACAAGGATTCTGCTGGTGTTTGAAATACCAGTGACATAGCTTTCAGCACCACAGCAACACACAAGCCAACACAGTATGACAAGTTATAGATATAGTTAAACTTAGTTTCTAATTATTTATTGCTTACAGTGCTAAATAAGTTTCTGAAAGAGAGAGAGAGAGAGTTAGTTTTTAAACAACCTGATAATCAAGACTGATAAGAGGAGGATTAAAGCCTTTATTATATCTGAGTCAAACTTGCCCATATCTTATGGGTACTATTTCTGAAATTTACTGTATTTTTTGACAACTTATTTTTCTTATGCCTTTTGCTCTATTTCATCAAAGTGTTAATAAAATTTAAAATAAAATAAATGCTTGGAAAAATGTTTCTATTTTAAGCATTTTCCCCCAAAATTTTTTTTCCTGCATAAAAATTCATATCACATTTTATGCAAATAGCAAGTGTGTTCTATATGTCTTACCAAACCCACCACTCTCCAGGGAGCGTGTCACAATTAGCACAGCGCCTTTATAAAGATGTCATGGAGAGAGCGTGTGAGGCTAGAGCTGTTGGTAAAAGATGTAGAAGATGTGTTGTTGGAATAAATATATGAGAGTTCACATAAGTGTTTTCAGATTAATCAATTTATAGATGCAGACCACAGTGAATTTCTTATTTTATAATTGTTATGAAGCAAAAACTATTCATGGAAATAATTTATATTCTTTCCAATTAAGATCAAATTGTATTTTGACAGTAACACACAAATTCTCCAATGGAATTTTCCGGTTTCTCTAAATAAGGGAGAAATAGTTACTGGATTTTGTAGCTGCTACTGCCAGTTTTGTTCTGACTCACAGTGACCCTGCGTATCACACGAAGAAACACTGCCTGATCCCGTATCATCCCATTGGTTTAACGCCCTGATTTAGTGGGTAGACAATAAAGTTATGTGCTTTATCGTACAAGGCTTCTTTTTCAGGAGGTGTTATTCTGGGGTGTAGGAAGTAAACGGTTTTCTTGTTTCCCACCTGAGTCTGCTCACTCAGAGGTTTAATTTAAACAACTGAAGTAATGGCCACATAAAAGTGAAAACTGGATTCGTTTCTTTGTTGAAATATTACATAGTTGTTGAAATATTACATAGTCAACTGAGATTTCTTGGACATGTAAACAAATTTTTATTTCTGTCCTATGGTGGTATTATAAGGTCCTATCAAGTCAGAGCCTACTCATAGCAAATCGCTATATGAAAAGACAAACTGCCGACTGGCCCTCCCTCCCTCACAGTCGTCCTATGTTTGAGCCGATTGCTTTAGTCACTCTGTTAATGGATTGTGTCGACAGCCTTCTTTATAGTTAACACTTTACCAAACATGATAGTCCTCCGCCCACCCCCTGGACCGTTCCCTCTTGTTATTAATACGCCCCAATATGTGAGATGAACAATGAAAAAACGGACAGACTTAAGGACTTGTTTCAGACATGCTCAAACACAGGAAAGGAGCACACACGCAGAAAAAGACAGCTTTGAGGACTGGGATCTACTGCAAACAGAAGCGCTCATCGAAAGACTTCACCCCAAGAGGAAAGTGAAAACCCATGGGCTGAGAAGAAGTCTTTTATTAATGGCACAGCAGGTAATGGACTAATCTCTACAAGGTGTAGAAAACTGTGAAACATCACTAAGAAATAATTGAATAGTCCAGTTGAAAACTGGGCAAAGGAAAGTGACAGTTCACCAAAAATCTCATCCACGGGCCAAACAAAGGTATGAAAAATGCCCATGTTATTAGCCATGTGGGAGATACAAATCAAAACAACAGTAACATCTTGCCTTAGACCGACCATGGCACCTCCTTTCAGAAAGCAAGGAAACAAACATAAAAGGACAAATCCCGGAGAGGGAGAGTGAAGAGACCGGAACTCTGTCAACTGCTGGTGGGTTTGTAAATAGGCTTCACCTCCGTGGAACGTGAGATGGCGACTGGATAGCACTATCCTGAGTCCAATTTCCTTGTTTACTAGTGCACATCCCCGCAGACTGTTCACCTGGGAACCAACGAAGATAGAACCAACCCGTGACTTACTGCTTTTTTCCCCCCATTAAACACCAGCCTCTCAAACAACCCAATGCAAGGGCAGAGTACAGAGGGATGAGCGTTAAGTGCTACATCCTCAACTTCTTTATGTTAATAACTAAATTCCTTCCATAGTATCCCGATTCTTTTTCAGTTTTTGCTTGTATGAACATAGTGATTGAGTTATATTTTCTGGTAGTGCTGGCTTAAAGATTTCTGGTTGAAATTTCATTTTTTAGATGGAGAGCATTATGCATGTATTTAGTGTTAATCATCTATGTACAAAAAGTACTTCATCTTCAAAGAACCGGCACCCCTGCGGGGCGGGCCATGGTGAATGCACTGGTCTCCTCATAGAAAGGTCAGCCTTTTGTACCCACCACCCCATCTGCAAGAGAAAGCGGTGGCAATCCGCATCTTCAAAGTTCTCCTATGCCCTGTGGGGTGGCAGTGGGTGTGGGTAGGGTCGACTTGGTTGAGAAATGGTTCACTGCAGGCCCAGAAACTCTTTTGATTCATGTTCATCTCCTGGGCTTATTTTCCACAAGGAATACTATTTTACTGGCAGTTGGATGTACTTGTTTTGATAGATGGAGCATCCTGTTGCCATTCTCATTAAGTGTGTTGAATTATTGAAGTTATTGAATTAAGCTGTAAGCCCATTTCATGGTGTACCTGGGACTAATTTCATTTTGATTAAAAAATGGGTTCCTGTTTGATTTCTTTATGATTGCACTTTCCATTTCATCGTCGTCTTTGGAAAGAACTGCTTGGTGTTCGATAACAGTTGTTTCTATTCAGCACCAAGGCTTTTACGTTTGCTGTAAAATACCTTTAAATTGGTTTATGTGAATTTAGAAAGTCAGTGTATAACTATAAAAACTTCGCGTTTCTCCTTTCCATCAGACAATTAACTAAATAACTCACTGACATCAAATCTTTGCTGATTCATAGTGACTCTGCAGGACTTAGTAGAACTGCCCCTGTGAGTTTCCAAGACTGGAGTAGAAAGCCTGCTATTTCTCTGGAGGAGTGGCTAGTGGTTTCAAACTGGCGACCTTGGTGTTAGTTGCCCACCTTGTAATCTGTATACTACTAGGGCACCCTTTTATCAGATAAAAATCAACTCACTGCCACTGAGTCAATGCTGACTCATAACGCACCCCGGTGAGTTTCCAAGTGAGTTAGTTTATTGTGCCAACCAACCTGGCTGATAAACACATGTGGGGTTAATTGAAGGGCAGAGGGATAAATGGCTCAGTGAGCCTTGCCTTGCCTTTCTAGTTCTCGAGTCTCTTGCTTTCTGATGGTCGGACCAGGGTGCAGCTGCCTTAGCCATTTCGCTGCTTTAGTTGGCAAGGCTCACTTCCTGTAAGACATCCCTGAGGAGAAGCCACATGGACCTACCCCGATGCAGCCCTGGGTGCTGGAGCAGCCGTGTGGAGCCCCCTGCCAGCACTGAGATGCTTACACATTCACTGACTGGGTTTCCTCCTGCAGTCGGCATCATTGTGTTTGTTTTGTGAGCTGGAGGAGGACTTTGTGGATTGGTGTTGGACATATGGGTTAATGGGTTATGTTGGACTTGTGGGTTTGGCCAGCACTGGGTTGGGATGTTTTCTTGATGTGCACTTACCCTTTCTGTATAAAACTCTCTCTTCTATATATGAGTTTCTGTGGGTTTGTTTCTTTAAAGTACCCAGGCTAACACACCAAGACTGTAACTGTTTACGGGAATAGAAAGCTCAGTCTTTCTCCAGCGGAGCTGCTGCCGGTTTCAGATCATGTCTGCATGTCAATTCAAAGACCATGATAAGTGAAGAGCACTAATCTAAAGTCTATGTTCATTTTGCAGGTGATGGAAGTCAAAGGACAAATGATCCATGTCCCAGAATCAAATTCCATTTTATTTTTGGGCTCTCCGTGTGTAGACAAGCTGGATGAACTCATGGGTCGTGGGCTGCATCTCTCAGACATCCCTATTCACGATGCCACCCGAGATGTCATTTTGGTTGGTGAGCAGGCAAAGGCCCAAGATGGCCTAAAGAAGAGGATGGATAAATTAAAGGCAACTTTGGAAAGAACTCACCAGGCCCTGGAAGAAGAGAAGAAGAAAACAGTGGATCTCCTGTACTCCATTTTCCCTGGCGATGTGGCCCAGCAGCTCTGGCAGGGGCAGCAAGTGCAGGCCAGGAAGTTTGATGACGTCACCATGCTCTTTTCAGACATTGTAGGTTTCACAGCCATCTGTGCCCAGTGCACCCCCATGCAGGTGATCAGCATGCTAAATGAACTGTACACCAGGTTTGACCACCAGTGTGGATTTTTGGACATCTATAAGGTAAGGGCTTTAGTTACCAACATAGAAATATTTTAATAGTAAATTGTCATGGTAATTAAATTGCAAGGAGACTTCTTTTTTTCACATACTTAAACTTACTAGTAAATGATCTCTTTAATTTAAATATTGTTGCACAGTATGTAATTAGTTTTGCCTTCTAAATCAGCTTTCATTAGGAAGAAAATAATAGCCTTGACATTTGGTGAATATTGCACAGTAAGGGAAGTTCTAAACAGGTTAGTGCTCAGAGTTGGCTATTAAAATTTTAACTTCTTGAATTCTAGACAATTTAGAACCACAAAATTAATCGTAGAGAGCAACATAAACTACCACTTGTATTATGACAGTTAAAAAGAAACAGCAAATTAAGCTAAAATAGTCACCACAGTATAAAATAGTCATCCAAACCAAAACTCAACCCAATGCCACCAGGTTGATGCCAGCTCATCATGACCCTATGACCTTGTTAGCCCATAAGGTTACCAAGGCTGTAATCTGTACAGAAGCAGACTGCCACGTGTTTCTCTTACTGTCTGCTGGGTTCAAACCACCAGCCTTCTTGTGGTAGCTAGGCGCTTTATTTATGGCCTGCACCACCAGAGCGCATTATAATTGGTCATGGTTTGTCAGTATTGTGTTCTGCATTGCTAAATAGCGAGATTCCTCTAATTCTAAAATAATGCATACAAATATCCTAACTTTTGCTGAGGTGGCCCATGCTTTTAAGTTGAAGCAGCTTACTTATCTAAGCTGCATAATGGGAAAGAAAGTGAGCAGCAATCACCATTGATTGCTGGTCTGATTTTGGAAACTTTCATATTTTTCATTAAAACTGTCATATTATCTGGAATGGCTCAACCCTGTATCTATCACAGGTATGAGGTTTCTATAGAATTCCATACAAATTGCACAGGTTAATGGCTATGGCTTTTTTATACGAAGGGCAGCAAATAGCTTTAATTTACAATAGTTAAGTATTCTTCAACTATTTTTTCCTCTACTAATCCATGTAGACCAGCAACTTCTTTTCATAGTATGACCTTCACATAAGCAAACTCACAAAGAACCCGTCTGTTTCCCTCTGTAGTCTCCTATTCTGACCCAGAGCATGCCTTGGTGAAGATATGTCTGCGTCAGAGACAGTGTGTCCCGTTATTTATAAGGTATAAGTAAGTGCTTAGTACAACGATTCTTACTCAGAGTGACCCTCCGCTCTATCATTTTAAAATATTTTATTGCTTCTGGGCGACAGTTTGTACACCAATGTAGGTTCCCACTGTAACAGTTTCTACACACATTATTCAGGACACTGGCAACATTTTCTTCACAATGTGTCCGCCTTTTCTCTAATTCTGTTTGTTCAGTTCCATTCCTATGGCTTCTCTGCTCCTTGCTGCCTTCTCATCTTTGCTTTTGGGTGCATGCTGACCATTTGGTCATATGTAGATGTTTTTCAAAGGAACACATTGTTCCTGGTGATGTTTACTTTACGAGGGTGACCTTGGATTTAATTGGAAGGTGACTTCCTTGAGTCATTTCAACTTCAAGTTTAATGAGTATCTCAGGGTAATCTTGGGAGTGCTCACATTTTCCCCAGGTCCAATTTGTCTGGCCTTTTTTCAGAATTTGAGTTTTTTCCTACACTTGTTTCCCATTCTCTGTGGTGCCATCTCTTGTGGGCCCATGAGGGTGGTCAGTGTGGGAGGGGAGCGCCGAGTTCTTTGGACTCGAAGCCGTGGTTCTCTGGACTGTTAGTCCAGAATTGCGTTATGGAATCTTTCCTACTTTCTCTTATTATTCAGAGAAGAAGAGACCCATAGTTGTATCTTGGATGACTATTTCAAGCTTTTAAGACCCCAGACTCTTATTACCAAACTAGGGTGTAGAACATAAACTTTATAAGCTATTTGACTCTGGCCCTAAGGTTTCAACCTCAATATGCCAATCCTGCAAGGTGTTTGACTATACCTAGGAAATATCTGCAATAATGTCCCTATGTGCTACATTAGATCGATGACTATATATGCAACATACTTCCTGTGGTACACAAGGGCTAAAGTTTTCCAGGTAGATCACCTGTTCTTCTGAGGTGTCTCTGGGTGGACTCAAACTTTCAACATTCCGGTAGCAATGAAACATTGTAACCATTTGCATCATCCAGGAAGTCTATCAAAGCCCAAGTCCACTGCCATCGAGTCAGTTCTGATGCATAGAGACCCTCTAGGGAGCTTGTGAGGCTGTAAGTCTTGACAGGAGCAGATAGCTTCCTCTTTCTCTTTTGGAGTAGCTGGTGTGTTTGAACCACCGACCTTGCACTACCAGTACAATACTTAACCCGACAGCCCCATCAGGGCATGCTTCTATAACATTTGTTATTAGTTCCATTCCATCTCATAGTAACCTTATATATAAAACACTGCCTATCTTGCACCAGCCTCGTAATTGTTACGTTTAACCCTATGGTTGCAGCCACTATGGCAGCTGAAGGTCTTCTTTTTTGCTGGCCCTCTCATTACCAAATAAGATCTTTTTCTAAGGCCTGGTCTCTCTGATAATACGTCCAAAGTATGTGAGATAAAGTCTTGCCAGCCTTGCTTCTACAGAGAATTCTGGCATTACTTCTTCCAAGACAGATTTGTTTGTTTTGGCAATCCATGGTAGTTTCAGGATTCTTCACAAGCACCATAATTCAAATGTATCAATTCTGCTTTCATCTTCCTTATTCAGTGTCCATCTTTCATATGCATCTGAGGTGATTAAAATGATGAATAGGTATGGTACACCTAGTCCTCAAAGCGGCATCCTTGCTCTTCAACACTCTAAAGTCTTGTGCAGCAGATTTGCCGAATGTAGTATATCATTTGATTTCTTGACTGCTGCTTCCATGAGCATGGATCACGGATTCAAACCTAGGCTGTTGTTGGGGCCTGTAGAGCTGGTTCCAACTCCTAACAACCCTCCGCACAACAGAACGAAATGCTACCCAGTCCTGCCCCATCCTTACAGTGGTCCTTAGGGTTGAGCTCATTGAAGACCTTCCTCTTTTTTGCTGCCCCTCCACTTTACCAAGCACGCCGCCTTTCTCCAGGGACTGGTCTCCCTGATAGCATGTCCAAGACAAGCCTTGCCATCCTTGTCTCTGAGGAATGTTCTAGCTGTATTTCTTCTAAGACAGGTCTGTTTGTTCTTCTGTCTGTCCAGGGTACTTTCAATATTCTTCACCAACACCACAATTCAAAGGTATCAGTTTTTCTTCAGTCTTCCTTATTCAGTGTCCAACTTTCACATACCTTTGAAGCGGTTGAGAATAACGTGGTTGGGTCAGACATATCTTATTCCTTAAAGGAACATTCTCGCTTTTTACACTTGAAAGAAGTCTTGTGAAGAAGACTTATAGTCTGCTTCAAACATATAACCAGTGTTAAAGGTCATTATTGAATCTCTTCTAAATGCTTAATATTCCACATCAAATATATATGAGGGATTGGTCTTGTTATAAAAAATAATTATAAATTATCTTCACTTGTTTATAATGTATTATTGATGTAATTTGAGATAGAGCTAGTCCAATAACTGGCCCTAAAGCAGGGCAACACTGCGGCATGTCTCCCACTATCAGAAGAGAACGGTCAGATTTGCCAGCACCTCTTTCCTATAGAATTGGGCACTAGTGCACCAGTCTCTGCAATTCTCAATCTCCTACCTCCTAAACCTCTGATTTGCAATGTTAATTTCCTTCAATTAATGTAGTTTGTCTATATGTTTAAACGTCTGACTATTTTATTTATTTACTTACCTGGGGTCCTAAATTTATAATACTAAATGAGAATATGAAGTAGATTCTCCTCCGGACACTTTTGATTTAAATATATTAGTTACATTTTGAGAAAAGAAAAATGATAAAAATCTCCTGGTTTTACATCTAGAAATAGAATTTGACTTCTTTAACAGCAAGTCTTTCTTCGTTTGAGATAAGCAAGGCTATATCTCACAGAACAGGGAAAAAGATACCTGTGATTTGTGAATCTCCTTACACTGTTAAATCACGGACAGTGTTGTATAATCAGGACTAATTCTGAGTATGTTTCACCTTACCAAAAGGATCTTACTTTTCCTGTAATACTTAAGACAGTGCTTTATATTATATATTAAGGGCCTTCAAAAAGTCTGTTCAAAAAGTCCATTATCTTCTAGTTACATTTTCCCACAATCTTTTTGAAGCCCATATATATATTCAAATAAAAAACAATAGCAATTATAATAGTAGTACTAAAGGTTCTGCTTTACAATTTATCTTAAACTGGATTTGCTTTTGAGATATTAACAATGTATTTTAAAGTAATGGATTGGAGATTTAAAATATGTATCTTCAATGCTAGGGCGTGTTTGTATATGTGATAAGTGTCATAAGTAGCTTTTGGTATTTACTCGGGTCTGGCAGCGACGTTTGGGTGAACCAGACTGGGAGGCACATTGCATGCTGCTGCCAGACGATACTCTTTGGAGATTGAGGGAAGCCCCATGAAGGGAGAATTCACTCATATATGGGGTAAAGTGTGTATTTTTAGAAATACCTCCAGAAGTATATATAAAGTAGAATTTCTTTATTGGACCTGACTAAGATTTCTAGTCATAATAATTCCAGCCTATTATTCAGAAAATTTGCCTTGCAAAAAACCTGAAGAGCAAAATGTTACACAGTACATTATTGAGAGAGACTTTTCAGTTAATAGTTCCTTTACTAATTGCTAAAGAATAAAAATCATAACCCAGGCTTTCTGCAAGTCACCTCGGTCCTATTAAATCTTTAGACCTCTGTAACATCTTGGCATTCAAGCACTGTATAAGCCTTTGGTAGATTCCCAAGCCTCTTACTTTATAGAACTTTGATTATCTTAGGAGAACCTTTATATTATGGCCTAATTTAGGTGACATCTACTACTGGAGTTTGTCACTGCCTCCCCTCCCAGGTGATAGGAAGGCATGTGATCTGTGGTGAC